CATTGGAGGCGGCCGAGCTTCATGGCCGCACCCATTCTCGCACTGCCTCTCTCCACGCCCAAAGCATGTCTCGTGTTCTGGGGTCAAGCAGCCCCCCAATGGCTCCTTAATGCGTGCCCTTTTCTGGAACATCCGCGTTTTCAATCATGATGGCCGACGCCGACAACTCCTAGAGTACATGTGAGATGAACACATTGACATAGTCGCCATCCAGGAAACCATGTGCATTGAATTCTCCCTGCCGGAGCTTGATCGGCTGAGCTCCCACCTCTTTGATTGGCATTGGCTCCCTTCTAGTAGGATTGCCGACCATTCGGGTGGCATCCTATTAGGTGTGAAGGATGCCACCTTCGAGGTGGGTAGTATGGACCGGGGCCAGTTCTTTGTCAGCATGGAACTTTATGAATGGGCCCTTAATTTCAAGTGGGAGGTTATCATCGTCTATGTCCCGGCAGACCATAGTAGGTCTGCCTCCTTCCTCGAGGAGCTTCATCGGAAGGTTTCGGCTGCCACCCTTCCCGTGGTTGTCGGGGGCAATTTTAACCTCCTCCGATTCACGAAAGACAAGAGCAATGCACATGTCAACTTTGCTCGTATGCAAATGTTTAATGATAGCATTGCTGATCTTGGTCTTCGCAAGATAGATAGGATTGGTGCCAGGTTCACCTGGACCAATTGCCAGGCATCCCCAACCCAGTCCGTTCTGGACCGGGTCGTAGTCTCCCCGGAACCTCCGATGTCCCCTGGCTTCCCTCCGGGCCATCACCCGGATTGGCTCCGACCACGTCCCCCTCCTCCTATCCTCCGCCAACGAGCGCCCTCCGATTCCCCCTCACTTCCGGTTCGAGACATTTTGGTTGTCCCAAACCGGCTTTGTTGAGGCCGTCGGCGCCCGCTGGGTGGAGGCTCGTGCCCACCCCCACCCCGCCCTCCCTCGGCTATTGATTCATGGCAGTTTTGTGCCAAACGTGGCCGGCAGTTCATGAAGGGGTGGGGTGCCAACCTTGCCCGCGATCTCCACGAGTGCAAGAAGGCCCCTTTGACCGCCATCCAGGCCCTTGACCTCCGGGCTGACGCGACCGGCCTCTCCCCTGACGAGTGGCTCTCCCGATACGACATGGAAGATCAACTCTCCATCATCTACACTGTTAAGGAGGCTTATTGGCGCCTGCGGGGCTCCCAGAAATGGGTGTTGAAGGACTACGCGAACACGACCTACTTTCAGGCCATTGCGGACGGTCGCCGTAGACGCAACACCATCGATCCCTCTTCTCTGGGATGGCGCGTCGCTCTTGCAGACCCCCGGTGACATTTGGGCTGGAACCCAGCAGGTTTCCGCTGTGGAGAATGCGGCCCTTACGGCCCCTTTCTCCGAGGGCGAGGTTTGGGCTGCCATTAGAGGCATGAACCCTACCTCGGCCCCGGGCCCCGACGGTCTTCCACTGAAATTCTTCCAGACCTTCTGGAATGTGATTAAACCTGAGGTCATGGCCATCTTCGACGAGTTCTATGCAGGGTCCATTGACCTCGGTCATCTCAATTATGGGATCATTTCGCTCATCCCTAAAGTGCCTGGGCGTCTGACATCCGCCAATTCCGTCTGATCATGGGGATTAATGTGATCTTCTGGATCCTGGCGAAAGGGTACACCAATAGGGTGACCCTGCTGGCAGATCGCATTACCCACCCCAACCAGTCCGCCTTCATTCAAGGGTGTTTTATCCTGGATGGGGTGCTAGTCCTACACGAAGTCCTCCATGAAGTCCGCTCTAAGCACCTCAAGGCGGTCTTCCTTAAGATCGATTTCCATAAGGCTTACGACACAGTCAGCTGGCCCTTCCTTCGGGAAGTTTTGCTCCAGAAGGGCTTCGACGACCGTTGGATCACCCGCGTGATGCAGATGGTGTTGTGCGGTCGCACCACCATGAACGTCAATGGAGAGGTTGGTCCTTACTTCCCCACCCTTTGTGGGGTTAGACAAGGCGACCCCTTCTCCCCATTCTTGTTCAACATGGTGGTGGACGCGCTTGCCGCTATCCTGGACAAGGCAAAGGCAGCGGGCCATATTCATGGGATCACTCCCCACCTGGACGGTGGCTCTGGGATCTCCCTCCTCCAGTACGCCGACAACACCATCATTATGGTGGAAGGCTAAGAGGCGGACATCTCTCATATGAAGTTCCTCCTCCTCTCCTTCCAACAAATGTCTAGCCTCAAGATCAACTTCGATAAGAGCGATGTGATGGTGATGGGCCATTCTCCGGATGAATGCCTGGGCATTGCCAACCATCTTAACTGCCGCTTGGGCTCCTTCCCCATGACCTACTTGGGGATGCCCATTAGTGACTCTCGGCTCATCGTCGCCGACTTGCGTCCGACCGTGGCCAAACTGCAGACACGCATTGAGCCTTGGCAGGGTAGGTGGTTGTCGAAGGTGGCCCAGACGGTTCTCATCAACTCCTCCCTATACATCCTCCTCTTGTTCCTCATGAGCTTCTATAGCCTGCATGAGACTCTGCATCATGAGATCGCCAGAGTCCAGTCTCGTTTCTACTGGGCGAGCGACAATAATAAGGAGAAATACCATATGGTTAGCTGGCCAAACATCTGCAAGCCAAGGGAGCAAGGTGGCCTCGGGATCATGTGCTCTAAGTGCATGAACATCGCCCTTTTATCCCGCTGGCTATGGAGCATCTCGCAAGGGCAAGGTGGCCTCTGGTTAGACATCATCCGGAATGAATGCCTGCGTGGGCAGCCCCTCGCCTTCTGTCAGAGATCTGGTGGCTCCCAGTTATGGCAGTCGGCCATCCAACTAGTCCCGTTTCTTCGCATTGGGACCTCCATTTCGGTTGGATCTGGGGTTGCGACTCTGTTTTGGTTCGACCGGTGGGCGGGAGACACCCCCTTCGTCACGCGCTTCCCCGACCTCTTCTCCATCGTCGTTGATCCTTGGATCTCTGTTGAGAGGGCCCTTATTGACTTAGGGCGCCTCGCCTTCCAGAGGCCATTTGGGCCTCCAGATTATGCCGCCTGGCATGAGTTGCTCGCCCGCGTCGTCCTACACGAGCCTGAGGTGGACGCTGGCCCGGATCTGGTCCGGTGGCGCCTTGAGCCATCAGGCCAATTCTCCACCAAGTCCCTCTACTGGGCCATTGCCCCCTCCTCTGTCCCCTCCCCTCTCGGCGGTTTGGTCCATCCGCCTACCTTTGAAGATTCGGATCTTCACGTGGCAATGGATTCGCGGGCAGACCCCGTCTGGGGTGGAGGTTCGCAAGCGTAATAGCCCTGGTAGTGGCCTACGCCCGCTCCGTGGTGTCCCCGAAGACTCGAATCACATATTCTTCTCTTGTGTGTCTGCTCAATTTATGTGGAGCTGCTTCAGAGAGGTGGTTGGTGGCAATTGGTGCCACACCAATTTCCCCGACCTGTTCGACGAACTCCAGAACTCCCCCTGTCTTCTCGCCACATTAGGTGGCTGGAGATTGGGGCCCTCGCTTGGACGCTCTGGACGATCTGCAATACACTTGTGATCCAAGGCATTCCACTTTGACATGCTACTGATGCCCTCTTCAAACTCTCTGGTTACTTGCAGCTTTGGCGGCCGCTTAGCCGCCCCCAAGACCAAGACGCCATCTCTGCCTTCATCGCCGACCTCCGCTCGATGGTTGTTCGTCTGTCGCCGCCACCTCCTCCGCCACCCCCCGAGCCGGAATAGGGGTCGAGCGCTCTCTCCGGCCTCCCTCGGTCGTTCTTTTTCTTTTGTTTGGGCCTGTTGAGTTGTGCCCTCAGCAGAACCTTTTGTACTTATTGTCGTGAGACTTTGGAGTGTGTGTTGTGGACTAGTCCTTGTATGGTTGCTCTATGACGGGTTGCTTTATTTATAAAGTGGGGCGAAAGCCTTTTTCGGTAAAAGAAAGGCGACAAAAAATGGAATAGAAATACGCTTATATTCACAAAAATGTATAACTCACCTTATAGTTTCAATGGAGGATGTAATGCCTAGCCAGACAATGTTCTGCCTAGGTTGCTAACTAAGCTCAAACATCAATGTTAGCAAAAATTAGTGTTAAAATAACCATGTGTTCTAAATAAATCCACGTCTTCATATAGGGAATGTTCCTTTTTGCAGTAGATATCAGCCCAGGATGAAGTGAACTAATAACATGCATAAAGGCGAGGTATGTAACTCAATCAAAAGAACTGCTTCCACAACATTGGGAAACATTTCATCATATAAGACAGCTTCAGTACACTCTAAATAAACAAGGGTTACTTCATAATGTTACAAGGAACTGCAAAGCCTTGGTGCGCCAGTATGTACTACTACTCCTTTATTACACTAATAATATCAGAGAAGCGAAAAAAAACTGGCTGACAGCTACTCCCTCTGTCCCATAATATAAGAGCGTTTTTCACACTACATTAATGTAGAAAACGCTCTTATATTATGGGACGGAGGGAGTACAAAATAAGCGTGTTAGTCAAACTTGTTTTAGATGAGAATATGGGATCGCCCCACAAATGGATGCACATAAAACAGCTCAAGGTGATGTTAGAAGAACATAAAGTGCAAGAATACTAAACAAGCCAGAAAGCCTAATGTGGTACCAACTTCCGTAGCGGAATAAAGCTCAAAATTCTCGGAGCAATTTCATTGGCAAATAGCGAGTATAAAAAAGATGCAGAATAGTATGCAACCAATCTCGAAAACAAAAATTTAGTGCGCAACAAAAGAATAATGAAGATAATCCTCATTGCCTGCTTGTAGCTCCATCACACGACGGTGTACCCGATATGCAGCTTTAGGCTCGAGCTCAAATTTCAAGTATGCTAAAATAATTTCCAAGAACATACAACAGACAGCAACACCGGTGTTCAAGTCCAATCTGAACATGAAGAAAAATGCTGATACGAGACACACAAATTGTTCGCAGATGATACAGAAATATAGATTCCTAGATGAATAGGGTTCTTGTAAAAAGGGAGCATCAAACTTCAGGTCATGCCGATGTGTTTGCTCCTGAAACAGGTTCAGGACGTCTCAGGGAGTTAATCCCACTTCCCTCTCTTGGCTTCCAATATTTTGCAATTGCACTTGTCACAATAATTAGGAGCAGCAGGATTACTACAACACAGCCAACTAGTGCATAGACATACACTGAAGTCCTCAATTTGCTGCAGCTCCCCGCAGCAAAAGCTGTCATGAGAGCCAACATATCCAGTATCATGATCAAGTGCAATACCCCAATTGGCACAGCCTTCTTCCTGATCGATTTACTCAGCAGCAGTATGATCACGACAATGGATGCCATGAATGCGAAAGAATTGAACCAGAAGAAGATCTTGAACCGTCGGTGATTAATATCACGAAGGACGGGATTGCCTGATACATGGCCCTTATCATCAGACCAAAATCCACCAGGTGGGTTCAGACCAGCTTGGTAAGCGATCGATGCTGCTAAAATTGCAAGAAGCATCAGATACTTGTGTCTCTTTCTCACCCTTTCTTCTTCGACAACTGAAGCTTCTGGCCTCACCTCAACTGAAGCTTCTGACCTCACGTCAACTGAAGCTTCTGGACTCACAGGAGTGTTTACTTGTTCACCCTCTGCATGGAAGAGAAGATCGTGTAGAAATCCTAGACACTTAGCCAATGGTTTTCCTAGTGTATCATGCATCGAAGACAGCAGAACTTGAATCAGAAGGGAGACTAGAACTCCCATAGCAATGGTGCTCAGATATATGGACTGTTTAATATTTCTGCAACTTCCTGCAACATACGCAATGAGGAGGCCAAGCAAGCCCGCCACCAAACACACTCGCAGTGCATATGACTTGATTCCATACTCACAGGATTCCTTATTCACAAGTAATATTTTGACGACCACAGACGACACAAATGAAACTGAATTTGAGTAGTAGAACACATCATAGCGTTTTGGATGGGTATCCTGAAGGATTGGATTGCCCGGAGTTCCCGTGGCTTTCTGGTCATCAGACCAGACACCTCCTGGAGGGTTCATGCCAGCTTGGTATGTGACAGTCACAGCCAAAATAGCAATGGTCAATAGCAGATTACGCCGCCTTCCCAACTCCTTCTCACTAGTATCACCCCCAGTATGGTTGTGGCCAAATTGACACGGCACTGAGCAAAAATGACTAACTGAGTGCTCTAACATCTCCGCCACCTGCCTTCTCCATTCTGGAGGAATTATATGTATTGCTATCAAGACATGAATGAGAACATAAGCAAGTACACTACATACGAGCACTGATATGAAAACAGTCTTGTTTGCCTCCCTGCAGTTCCCTAGAGCAAAAGCTCCGGTTAGGGAAAGTAGGACCACTATCATCGTTATTGGCAATGCACGCCGTTTGGTAACCTTGTCGCTCGCCATCTTGTTCAAGAGCAAAGTGATCATGACAATGGATGCCACAAAGGCGATTGCATTGAGATAGAAGAATGCAATGAACCGGCGATGGTGGGTATCCTCAAGGATGCGATCAGCAGCTGAATGATGATCTGTACTTCTTGACCAAAATCCACCTGGTGGATTCAGGCCTGATTGGTATGCCAGAGATACTGCAAGAATGGCAAGAAGCAGCATACATGTGCGGGTCTTCTTCAGATGCTTCTCAGTTCAAATGTCATCAGCATTTTGATTGGGTACTTGATTGCTGTCAGTATGTACATTCTCAGAATGTATAGGATGGTCATCACTGCCAAGAATCTCAGCACTAGGGTTATTATCTCCAACCAGATTGTTTTGTTCAGCACGGTCCGCATTGCGAGTGGTTTCCACAGGTGCAGAAAGCACTTCATCCACTATGCCATGACTAGTGTCTCCGTTACTCTGCCCGACTGACATATTTTGCTCAACTGAAAGAGCAGTTATGTCGGGATCATCAGGTGAAGATTGCTTCCCCATACTTGCAACTTTCTGGTTAGCTGACATACCGCACATGCTATTTTCAGTTTGCTGGTGGCTTAGTAATGGGTCATACTCTTGCTCAGTGCTAGATTTAGCTGCCTCCATATTTGCATCTTGCTTGCCTTCTGTAGACCCGTACTCCATGTTAGACACGACACCCATGCCATGTTCTGATCGTTGACAGTTCCCAGCAGGATGTGGTGAGCTGGACACATCCTCATCCATTTCTGCAACATGCTGGAATGGAGACTGGCACTCTGTGTTGGACGCAACATCCTGGATATTTGCTGATTGCTGGCTGTTCCCTGATAGATGTTGTGAGTTATTCACAGCCTCTTCATCATCTGAAATATGATTTCTTTCTTCTGCAGGTGCATGCTCCTCATAGGAGACATCCTCTCTGATATTTGGAAGTTCCTCTGCAGTCTGGTGTTGTGGTTCAGCAGTATTATCTTCTGCAGGTGCATCGGTTGAGCGGACTGAAGATTGATGATTGCTTGCGTAAGAATTGTCCTGCTCTGCATTGCTCGATTTGTGGCCACGAAAGCTCAATGAAAGTGCACGGCCCAATTTTCTCACACACCACAGGCTGCTTGATTTGACATTTTTTAGCCAATTTGCTACAGGCCTGGTAACAAAGAATCCAGCTAAAATTGCAAAGGAGATCCAAACTATGACGATGATAAACACCACATAGAATGATGTTGCTACCTCTCTACAACATCCTGCAGCATATGCAACAATTAGGCACAATAGGTCCACTACCACACATACAATCATTGCTTTGGTCCTTATTCCATGTCCACTCAATTTTGGGCTCAGAAGTAGTATGATTATGACCAAAGATGTCACGAAGGAAGTTGAATTGGAAGTGATAAATATATTGTAACGACGAAGGTAGTTACTCCGGAGAACAGAAGTAGCCGGATGATGACTGTAAACAGGAAGGGCCAAATGCAGCTTATTAGAACCATGGTCATTTTCAGCCCAAAAGCCGCCCGGTGGATTCAATCCTGCTTGGTATGTGATAGTAGCAGCAAAAGTTACAAGCATCAAAATGAACTTGCGAGCCTCCTCAACGTTCTCTAAAGGGATGCTCACTTGCCTCACAAGGAAACCCTGTTTGATTAGAACTGTATTTATCATGTTCTGCAGATTCCGTCTCAATTTTCTTGGAATAAACCTTGTGGATACTAGGGTATGGATCCCAACATATATGATAACAGCAAGGACTAGAACCCAGATGTAAATGGATGATTTGAGTGCCCTGAAACTTCCGGCAGCATAAGCCCCCAGCAGGCTGAATAGGTCTAATATCATGGTTAATTGCATTGAGTGGAGCCACATCCTCTTCCTTGTCACACTCTTACTGAGAAGCAAGATGATTAAGACAAGAGATGCAGCGAAGGTTGCTGCATTGCAGTAAAAGAACACCTCATATCGTTCAGAAAAGCCATCATGCATGACAGGGTCACCAGCATGATGATCATCCTTGTTTAGTGTCCACGATGCCCCTGGTGGTGTTAATCCAGCATTGTATGTCACACCAACTGCTAGGACTCCAAGAAGTACCGAATATTTACGATGTCTCCACAATAGCTCAAAATCATCATTGTTGCTGGAGCTGGATACATGGCTAGAGGGTGACAAATTTCTGCTGGACACGACATTGATGGGATCTTGCCTCGTGGTGTTGATGTTCGTCAGACCAATGGTGACCACGAACTGCCCGTTGTCTGCCATGTGGTTGCTCTCTGACTGAAATTGCAAGTCTCAGGTTGCTCTCTATGCCTCCATCTGGAGCATCAGGTAAGAGTTTCTTGGATGGAGAAGATATCTGAAGGATTCAAGGATAATTCAAGGATGGTTATGAACAAGAAAAAACAAAGAATGTTGCTAGAAAGACGGACTTGGTGAAGTCTATCCCAAACGAAAACAACACAAAAGAGAGCGCATCAAAGGCTAACTTGCCTGTTAGACCCCACAATATGAATTATTTTTTCAAACAGTAACCAGCATACAAATTATCAGCTCATGTTCATAGACTTCTCCAGAAAAAAGGTAGTTAATGTTGTACTAAGTTGGCCCCAACCAACTATCAGAGTCCACACAGGGTTGGTGTTAAAAGACGAAAGCATATTGTCAGTTTATTAAAATCTTAAAAAGGATCAATCCCATTGTATATACTGTAACTAGATGAATTTCCTGTGTGATTCTAGATATTACAATACAGATGATCATGTTTGACCATAGAGTTCTATTAGTTATACAATTTGAATGTTTATGATTGGAAATTAGTTGTGTTTCTCCTTCAACAATAACATCATATACATGATTGAACTTTACCGTTATAATCTGACCCCACCAAAATAAGTGATCTAGATCTTTCCCTTTGTTTTTCTTCCAACTGCTATTGCCACAGAACACACATAAGACAAGTAGTAATACTTGTTGGTGGAGACACTAACAGATTCTACAGGGTAACAAGTAAAATTAATTGCATTCAATGGTAGGTTACACACAACAAAGCCTAACAGCCAAACACACGAATAGAAAGTAAAAGATTATACCTGGCATGGAAAGCATTGCAATGCTCACAGCCAAATGGGAAGGGTGCCCTCGTTAGCCATATACGGTTGCAAGTGAGCTTGTATCCAGAGCGATAACCAAAATAGCGGTCCAGATATTTCCCTTTGTTTTCTCTGAATACCTAGATCTGATTGCTATCACCAGAAAACACACACATATAAATAAGTGTATGTTCGTCGAAGAACTAGCAGCTGCTTGGTTTTTTTAGATGCCATATTATATTTGGTAACTAGTAAGACTAACTGCAAGTAGAGAGGTTCAACAGGCGATGGAAATAATCAGTGGCGGCCCTAAGATCGTACTGTTGGGGGGGGGGGGGTGAACAACATAACTTTAACACAATCCGTTCAAAATTTGTGAAAAATACAGTAGAAATTGTAATTTAATCTAGATATCATCATAAGTTTAACAAATAGTCACAAAACATGATTTAAAATTTTAAAAACTAATACGTATTATTTTAAAACATAATCTAAAAGTGGTTTTGAGATAAATTATTTTGCATTTTACCAAGGGGGTGCCATGGCACCCTACTAGATCCGCCCCTGGAAATAATGCATCCATGTCTAATAACCGAGCACAGAAGAGAAACTAAGAATCATACCTGGAATGAGAAAAGCAATGCAATGCTCGTCGGATAGACATGGTCACAGGAATGGCTGCCCTCATTAGCTATCATACACATCAGCCCCTAGCCGAGCTTGCAGGTTTGAGCTTGTACCCAGATGTAACTAGTAAAATTGCCTGCAAGCGGAAAAGTGGCAGACTATTGGCAATGGAAGCTATGTATCCATGTCGAAAGCCCAGGAAGAGCAAGTAAGAATCGTACCTGACATGGGAAAGCTTCGCAATGCTCAGTTGCTCACTCGGAATAGCTGCCCCGTTGGCCTAGCTGAGGTTGCAGCTTTGAGCTTGTATCCAGAGCGACGGCTGCTGCTCAGACTACTGAGGG